GCACCTAATATCACCTTACAAACTGCTTTAAAATGTTTCAGGAAGTAATAAATCATTAATTAAAAATGACTCCTATTCTAAAAGCTAGAATGTACTTGAAATAGCTGAGAAACCCTTGAAGTTATGAATATATAAAACCTCAAAGGCAGTCATTTTATAAATAAAAAACATTAAATTTTAATCAAAAAGATTCCTTCAATGTAGGCTTTTAAATGTTTAATGTCCGATATTCAGGGAAAGGTTTGCTCTTTCTGACGGCCCTATCCTTGAAGCCTTACTCATTCTATTTGCCTTAATCACAGAAATCCCCTCAGTTTGTGTATATGTTGGATTCTGTGAGACTGACTCTTGTCCTGCCATCCAGCTTGATTTAGAGAGAAAAAGCATCTCATCCATTGTTTTTTCTTTTCAGTTTCTAATAATTCCTAATTACTTTTAAGACATATATTTATGCTTTAAACTGAATATTTTGAAATGGATATTAAGGTTTTTAAGTATCATCTGAGGATCTCTGGAAGAACTCACAAAATTTGGCATGACTATTTTGTAACAAAAAAGTCATATTTGTTAATATTTTCAGAAGGAACTTACTTTGTTACTCAGAAGGTAGATAGCTATTTATACAATTTGTATTAAAATATGTTTTAAGTTATGATTTTGGTAGTAATTTGGTATTTAAAATTTATTATAAAATTATTTTAAGTGTATATTTTATTATGATTAATCATATTTATAAGTGTCTGCCTAAAAGCATCTACATGAATCTGTTAGTGTGGGTAACTGAAGAAGCCAGAGTGTGCTGGTCCCCTGAAGACTGTGTTACAGTCAGCTCTCTGATGGGATTGCTAGGAACTGAACTCTAGGTTTTCTAGAAAATAGTGTGCCACTACTAAACACTAAGCTTTCTCTCCAGCCTCCACTATAAAATGTTTAGAAATACATATTATTATTTGAGTTAATGAAAGACAAATAATGAAATAAGCCTATACAGTTGTAACTAAATTATATAGCAAATGATTGAGATGTTATGTGGAATACTTTTTAGATACTCACAATACAGAAAGATTTGAGATAACCCAAACCATAAAGAGAAGAAATTAGTTTTTGCAGTACTGCAGTTTAAACCTCAGACTTACTGCATGCTTTTCAACCTTTTTAGCACTGAACTGTTCCCAGTTGAGACAAAGTTGCTTTAAATAAAGTCTTATATCAGCATATTCTACACGCATCATTGACAGGCAACTATATTACTGACCCATCTCTAATTGTAAGTAACTCTGGGTTTTGTTTAAGCTGTTAACTATATTCTTATCTACTAAATAAAACCCTTTTTTCAGTGTTCAAGTATTTTCTTTAAATAGGTAACTCAGAACAGCTAATTAGCCTTGGAAGCATTCAGCCTTAAAGCAAAATCAGTGGCACATAAGAATTCTATTCTTGATGGCAAAGTTATTTTCCCTAGAGCACAGTTTAGCCATTGAGAAACTCAGACCTATAGATACTGACATAGACAAACAAATAGACAAGAACAAGACACATGCCCTTGAATCGTGTTTGGATTATAGATAAGTAATCTATGAAATCTATGAACGTATAGAACATTACAGGGTATAATGAAATTGGATTTTTTAAAATGAAACCTAGTTTACCAAAATGTAGATCCATCTCTGCTCAGAATTATGGGACTTTGTGAATTAAGGGATTAATATTGAAATCCTTTTTTAATAGAATAAAGGATCTCACAAGAAACATTTTCTTGTAGCATTTGTAAATCCAGCACCAAGCAAAATAAATCAGATATCACTGGAGAAATGGCTAATGCTGAGGCTTAAACACAGAAGATATAAGATGACTATATGCTATCGTGTAGAAACAGAGAAAAAGAAGACATTAAAAATAAAACCAAAACTAACACAAATGTAAATAATGGAGGTAACCACCAATGGTTAAGGCAGCTAACTAGATGATACAGCAGCTACTACTAATGCTATGTAAGCAATGCAATAAATAAGTAGTATTCAGCCGGGCGTTGGTAGAAATAAGAACAGTGAAGGAAGAGGACAGATGGGAGCAGGCTGAGGAGGAAGTTGGGGCAGGGTGAATATAGTTAACATACTTAAATAAACATGACTCTCTGAAAACCATCAGAACATACAAGAATATATACCAATAATTATTTTAAGGGAGCTGGAGAATTGATGTGGTTGGCAAATTGTCTGATATGCATGTATAAGAATGCCTACCACCCATGTAAAATCCAAGCATGATGTGCCCCAATAACCACAGCAGAGGGGTTCAGTGACAAGAAAATCTCTGTAACTACTGGCCAGCCACCCTCCCCAAATAAATGAGTTCCAGTTTCAGGCAGAAAACAGTCTCAAAAAAAATGAGGGGAAGAATAATAGAGGACAGTATCAGACTTTGACCTCTGGTTTACACACACACACACACACACACACACACATGCATGCACACATACCCACATACATACATAAATTATGCACAGATTTGGAATTCTAAAATAAAAATTAGAAAACTAAACTCCATATTCCAATTGAAGAGACTTCTATAAAATATTTAACCAGCTATCTTCATGTCTACCAAAAACCAAAAAAAAAAAAAAAGGATACTATAAAACTTCCAAAATGTAGAGAAACTTCATAAAAGGCAATGACAAATTGTATTGTGGAATTCTGGATGAAAGAGGAGGATGTAAGATAACAAATAGTTTACAATAATGTAAAACATTTATGAGTTTATATGGGAAACAATGTTTATAAAACCTGAGAGAACTCTCTGGATTAAACTAAGCATATAAAAGAATTTTATATGAAAGCCTATTGAAAATAAATGGTGAACATTTTGGATGGTAGGAATGTCCTGTTAGTTGATTCTTGTATTCTTCATATGAATATCTCAGAACTGAGACGAGGTTCTTCTACTTGCTACCTATGCAAGCTTAAATCATTCAGCTCCCCCAACAGAGCCCAAATATCCACATCAGTTGGATGGGGATACTAATACTTCTTTCATAAAATAATTTAAGAGTGAAACAAGACAAAGCAATTCAAAAACTTCATAATCAAGTTCGATTAGTCATATCCTCTTTTGTGTATGCATTGTGTTGTGTGTGTGTGTGTGTGTGTGTGTGTGTGTGTGTGTTTGTATGTGTACCACATGCATGCTCATTGCAGAGGAGTTCAGAAGAGTGCACTAAACCTTATAGCACTGGAATTATGGACGTGAATCTATAATGGCGGTGAACAATTTGTGGGTGCTAAGAATTGATCCCAGGTCCTTTACAAGAGCAATAAATGCTATTAACCATAGAGCCATGTCTCCAGAACCAATAGAAAGTTTAAAATAAGCACTGAGCAAAAGTTGAAAGCCTTGATGTCAGGGAATAATAATATTTATCATAATTCAATATCTGCTCATAAAAATATGAGAGCATATAATGATGATGCAGGTGTGGAGTTCTAGAAATGTCTAATAATAAAAGGCTATCAAAATATTTACAATAATTCTAACAGTGTAGTCTGTTTTTCACCATGAACTCACACAACATGCCATTAAGAACTACTAAGGCTAAATGCATGTTAGTGAGTTTTTAACAATCCCATTTCTGTTTGGGAGAATAAACAGCCTAATTAGCAAGATTTTGCAATGACTAATTTGCTTCTTCTGGAAATTTAGGTTAAAAGATTCACTTAGTGGATTTTATCCACACAAAGAAACTATTTTTTCCTTTCTGATAAATTGGGTAACTCGAAGGTCATAATAGTGTCATGTATCACAAGTCCCTCTCCAGCCTCATGGTGCCTGAGGGCACTCATTCAAATGTGATCTGTCAACTTCTACCTATCAGATTAAGAACTTACTTGTAATATATTAATGGCTTCATTTTTAGATTTTGCTTTCTTCCAAATAGCACTAAGAAATTGATTGCCAGCTCACTGAGTTGAGAATGGAAGCAGATTGCTGAGCATGAATTACGATCACAAAAATAGCATCAAGATTGCAGATTTGAATATGATAAATAAGAGATAAGTTACAAAGCACTTGAGAAGGCAGCCGGATGGCTTTACCATTAGAAACAAAGAGACAGTACTTTCTAAAAAAAAAAAAAATCAAAAATGTTTTAAACTTCCAAGAGAGTTTTCAAAGCATGAAACAATAAATTCTACAATAAAATGTGTGAGTAGTTGTTTACCATCTTTCTTAAGTATGATGGTTATTATGGGTCACCAAAAGGTCACACAAAAGTAAGTGGGTCCCCTTTGAATATGCCCTAAGTCAAACAGAAAAAAAAGCAGACAAGACCCAGAGTTTTTCAAAGGGCTGTACTAATGTTCTGTACCCATGAATATATTAATACAGCAAAACTGATTAAAGTCTTTCCTCCAATCTTCTAATAACCAATCTTCTAAAATCCCCTTCAGATGGTGTAAAAATACCCTTCAAAAATGCTCGGGAACTGACATCAAACAATAAAACCAAATTTTGTATCAAAAATTATATCGCTTACTAATTGTATACCAGACAAGTTATTTTATTCTTTTAGTTTTTTTCACATATTTCAATACAGAATGAATTTAAACTCTTTTTGAATGATAAAATTGTGCAAAGAGAGCTGAGAAGGACATTATGACATTTTAGTATTTTATTTTATCTTTTTTAGTGTTTCCCATTTTTTTTTAATTCTTTTATTAGTTCAAATTAGGAACAAGCTTGTTTCACATGTCCCCCCCCCCCCCTAACCCCCACACCCCGCCTGCCCCTAGCCATCCCCCCTCCACTCCCCAGGCAGGGTAAGGCCCTCAAAAGGGTCTCCCCAAAGTCTACTGCATCATCCTGTGCTAGGCCTAGGCCCTTCCCCATGTGTCAAGGCCAAGAGATCATCCCTTCACATAGGATGGGCTCTCAAAATCCCTTCTATTTTTATGACCTTACATATTTAATACAGTGTGCTACCCCTGTACAAATGGAAACAACAATTAAAAAATATAGAATGCTTCACGAATTTGTGTGTTATCCTTGCACAGGGACCATGCTAATCTTCTCTGTATTGTTCTAATTTTAGTATATGTGCTGCCGAAGCAAGCACCATTTTAGTATTTTTTTTCTTTTTTTATTAAATTATTAATATTTTCACATGTACTTTCCCTCTCCCTCTCCCTCCACCCACCCCCATTCCT